GTGGTACAACAACTAACGAATGTTGTTCGTGATGAAATGATTAACTTAAACAAAAGGTTACACGACCAGAAGTTCAATGGCCTTAAACGTCGCCTCACAGAACAAATTTTCCAGCTCCAGCGAATGAAAGAAGGGGAGAAACTAGATGATCCTACCCTATGGAATGATTGCGCACAATTTCTATCGGAGCTTGCGTTTAGGTTTGAGTCACCAGTGCCTTTCAAGTATGAAGACAACTTGACCGAGGATCCAGATATAAGAGATTTTGTGACAGCCGTAGTTCAGTACTCAGAAGCTCATTCATTCTTTGTGGCTCTTCTGTTTGTTGCTAAAGGAAAATATGCAGAATTTAAAAGCGCAAACGAAGACGAAATCGCCATGGTGGACCGTAAAATTGTGTTCCAACTTAAAGAAGCTAAGGAGAAACTTTCTTTTCTCTCCGAAAAGAGATTTTTGACATTTCTTGGGCGAATTGATGGCGGAAAACTCACAAAAATTTTAGCTTTAAGTAGAAGAATTCGTGATAGAAGTCTTGTAGAAACCGTTCGCCTCAGCTTGAGTTTGTTGCCAATGACGGATTTGTCAACAATCGATTCTTCTGCGAAGAAGGTGAGTCAACAAGAAGTGCCTTTGAGATCTGTGAAAGGGAAGTCGTGTAGTTGGTCTGCAGTTGAGTCTTTGTCATTCAAATCCAATATTCAGTTCATAAATGACGCAGACTTTACGATGAAGGTTGTTTCTGATGAAGTTCGCTGGAACCAAGATCGCTTTGTGAAAATCCTTGAACCTCGGGATTCGTATAGTGTGGAGACTAAATTTCCATCCTCTTCAGGCGGATACTTAGTTCTGTATGCAAACAGCAATGAGTTGAGCCACAAAAGAAAGAAAATCAGAGTTTTCGAATTTGCAGTGTCTAATCGGTTTGGACTTAAAATAAACTTGCAAGACAGAACTGGCGCTGAGTTTTTGAATGGTAGGAACGCGTTCAAAGATCTACTGTCTGGTAAATCTATCTCTCTCTACTTTTCTGAAAGTGGAAAATATTACATTAACAGAGCTGAAATTTTTTATTGTTTCCCTTTCCATCACACATTCCGATTTATCACTCAAGGCATCGATCCAGAAGCTGTAGAAGAAAGTTCTCTACAATTTTAGAAAACTATGATAAAAGTATGAATTTCACGGACCTTCCGTCTTGTTCTATTGTTTTCGGTATGGATTTAATAGGAAACCACAAGAAATCTATTAATTGTGGGTAATTTCCACTGAAAAGTGGACAAAAACTAAACTTTGTAGAAATAGCAATTTTTTGGCATTCTATTCAGGTACTACTTTGGTTTATGTCAATAAACATGTTACCAATTATCAAAATACGTTTTTTTTATTAGAGTATCAAAACACAGATAAGTTTTGAACAAAAAACATGACAATGGTGAGAGTGCAGTAGACGTAGAGCAATTCAAATCAAGTCATTATATAAAGAGTGACGACACTAAATCAACAAGAATAACATTTCCAACTCAATTCAATTTCACGGCTTTAGTGCGTTCACTCTATAATTTATACACGACTGAATTCTTACAGTCAACTCTGAGAAATGTTGCTTATAGCTGACAACCGATCTATGATTTTTACAATAAAATATAAAGAAAATAATCCTGTGTAATATGAGGGGGGTGGGGTTGAATGCCCCATTGTGGGTTTTTGTGAATCTCAAAGATGGCTTATTAGCTTTTATGCTGAAGTATTAAATTTGAATTACTCACGAAACACTTTCCTAAAGTCTAAAGGCCTTTGCACAGTACCTACAATAGTTTAAACATGATGCTGTACTATTTATTTGAGTAAGCGAAAAAAGATGAATGTATGTGTATTCAGGTATCCGTGACACTCAGAAAGTGTGCTTGCGTGACACTTTATCCAAAACGTTACATGACGTCATTTCTAGGAATCAACTTTAGTTGTGCTTGATTTAAGAATCCACATGATATTTTATTCAGACGAAAAGCTCAGTTCTTCTATTGGTTCGGATAAATTGTCAGCTAATCAGGTAGGTTACGACTGCTTTAATTTTTTTCCACGTCTTTTCTCAGTCATAGATGTACACACTAATAAAACTTACCGACGAGACACCGCACGTTTCATGCGTTCAAACCTAGGAATATTCGATTTGTTTGTTGAAGTATTTCCCAGGTACAAAAACACCTTAGCCTACCTTACATAAAGATATTCTTAAATCTGACAAAGCTGTTACTCATACAATGAAAACATCTCACTTATAGCAATAGTTTTGATTCGCTATCGGTTGTGCATTTAGTTTAATATTCGATTGTTTGCGACTTTCTAGTTTTCAATTTTGAAAAGAACAGATTCATTACATGATCTAAAAGCATCATGTACAAGATTTTGTCTTGTTTAATTTTTGTATATTTGACCTTTACCCTTGATCAAATATGTGTTTACGAAGCGAACATCCAAGATTCCCTTTCACTATGACGTCACTTACGACCAAGATTAGAAAGTCATTTACACCTACTTGCAGAAACGTTGTCATAGAAAATAGAACATTCGAATTTAGTAAAAAGGAATACATTAAAACAAAACAAAAGAAAGCGTTCAGCCTCAGTGATCTTCTTTTGTCTTTTTAATTTATTCCTTTTTACTAAAATACAAATGTCCTATTTTTTTATGACAACGTTTTCGCAAGTAGGTGTATATACTGTCAATGATATACTTTACAATTAGTCAAGATTTGTGTTTTTGTTTTACCAAACCCAAAAGCAAAAAAATGAAAATACGCATTTAAACCCTGAAATAAATATTTATAAGGCTCGGTTTAATACGCCGAACTTCACATGTGTTGAATACTGGGGTAAAATTTCCTGATTTTTGAAGCGGGCTGCCCTGATGGACCAGCTGGTTTCTTTTATTTCCCTTTCCTTGGGGGACACAAAACAAAAGGAATCATCCCAGTCAACATTTTTTAGGTATATTTAGTCCATTTCAACCAATTCTCTATACATTATATTACAGAATTCCAGGCAAAATATGATTAAAATCATAGTTTTTCTTCAAGTTGTACTACCTTTGGTCGCCTGCACAGCTGTTCACACAGGCGAACATTGTTTCAGCGAAAAATGCCCACAGACGTCTGGGAAGAATTGTGAGTATGGAAAAAAGGAATCTAAATTGGTAAGAAACGTATCATCACTATTTTATTTTTATGGACAATAGGTGGGCCCCAATGTTTACGTTTTAGCTAATTTGCATAAATTTCACATATCAAACAATTGTCTAACATTCGCGCGGGCTACCTGTGTTTTTGTGGGATTCCTTATTTTCAAGGATGGGAGGGGACTACGACAAATTTATAATGGCCGACATGTTGAACAGCAATTTCTCTACATAGTGTGAACGTTTTGTAGATTTTAAAGCACTAAAAGGTTGGAAAAAATTGATAAAAAACTTTCTAACGTGTTTCCTTATAAGTAAAGATTACCAGATATGGTCGGCAAAAGTTTGGCAAACGAATGAATTTTTCTCCGAAGCAATTGTTCAGTGATATGAGACACAAGAAAATCAAGCCCATAAATGATAAGAACTCATACCAAATATTTCAGAAGATGCCAAGCGCCGAACTTGCGAGATTTTCTAAAGAAATGGCATTATTTTGCCAACCACTGAATGTTTTCTATGATTTTGTAGTTTCCAATTCCGATATCTCGAAATGTAAAAAGGCGTTAGCCATAAACTTTTCAGTTTTTTTTTGACATAAATATAATCTTGAATTATATGAGTTCAGATTGCTTATCTTTTGAATTTTATATTTTGTAAACAAACTACGTCATCGTACACCCACCTATTGATTTAGATTAGAGTTTGAGCGACAGTTGCAGATCGCGCCGAACGGGGATTTCTCCTTGGTACCCGTACAGGACCATGTAGTGACGGACGAATATATAGGGAATATTACAAGAGGGTGGGAAATCAAGTCATTAAATATCCATCAAACAAGATTATCAAATGTCTTGCTACAAGCTCGGAAATGGATCACTCTCGTGGGCAAAAGCACAAATGGGTTGAGAAAATGGGCGATCGGTCTAGTACCCACTGAATCCAGCAAGGAAACTTTAATATAGACCAATGAAATGTTGTTTTTTTCTTTGTTTGTTGTATAGAGAGAGGTGATGAAATCGTTTAACGATCTGAACTCAAAGCTTAAGGATTTTCCCGAAACCAGAAAAAAACTGGATGACCTCAAGGCCTCGTTGGAAGCGCAGAATGATAAAGATAGCTGCAATAATAAATTACCCAAAATACCATTTGAAAAAGTTAAAAAACTTTTCAC